AGGACCAATATGCCTCTCCAAATAGAATAAGATCATCAATAAAGAAAAGGTGGGAAATCAAGGGTCCGTTTGTACAAAGCTTTATCGGAGTCCAAAACTCATCTTCCACTATATCTCGGATTACATGAATTAATCTCTCTATACATAAAGTAAAACTGTAAGGGGAAATTGGGCCTCCTTGTCAAATGCCCCTCGATGATCTGAAGATTTCAGAAGGGTCCCCATTCCAAAGAACTTGGATAAAAGTCATACTGATACATGTCATAATGAGTTTGTATAAAGCATTTAGGAGTTTGATTTGGTTAAGGGTATCAAGGATGAAAGGCCATTCAAGCTTGTCATAAGCTTTCTCAAGGTCTACCTTAACCACCATCATGCCCTTTAGTCCTCTTTTAGTTCTTATTGAGTAGATGGCTTCTTAGACAATAATTATATTATCACTGCTTTGTCTTCCTGGGATGAAACTACACTGATGATTGTCAACAAGCTTTGTCATGACCTTCCTAAACCTTCTACTCAATATTTAGACACTATTTTATAGATGACATTACAAAGGAAAATAGGTCTAAAGTCTTTCATCTGCTCAGGATGGTCTATCTTTGGTATTAACACAAGGTGGGTTTGATTGAGGTGATTGACACAAGTTGGGTCCTAGAAAACTTGCTTAACTAGGTCACGTATGGAGTTGCCAATCAAATGCCAGTAGTCTTGAAACAGAAATGCTTGGATGCCATCTAGCTTCCATTTCAAATACAGCTTCCTTTATTTCCTCATTTGTAGCCATAGCAGACAACATAGCATATTCATTCTATTCAAGCTGAGGAAAATTATTCCTTGTAGGAATAGGGGTGAAATGTATTTGTGAACTTGAGAACAAATTCTGATAGTAACTCACAGCGTGTCTCTTAAGTTCTTCTTGTTCATAAATCCAATCCCCATAAGGATCTTGCAAGTACTCAATATAGTTTTTCCTTTTTTGAGCTACAGTTATTGAGTGAAAAAATTTGCTGTTGCAATCTCCTCACTTCAGCCAATTACATCTTGATTTTTGGTACCAAATCAACTCTTATTGGGCTAATGTTTTGTTGTACTCCTTCTAGAGTTTCTTCTCCACTTGAACAATACACTGATTATCATGTTTACTCTGAGATCTCTCAATACCCTCTAATCTTTTAAATAGATTTCTTTTTTTTTTCCACAAATATTTCCCACTTTTTATTTATTCCAGAATATAGCAGTATTCATAAAAGTTCTCATACTAGTAGCCCAGTCATTTAAGGCCCAAGATTTCCTTACAAGGTTTAAAAATTCCTCTTCTAGTAATCAGGCAGCCTGACATCTAAAGAGAGGTTTTTGGCTCCTATGACATTTTTTATTGTCGCATTTAACCAGCAATGGCCTGTGATCTAATCCAAATCTGCTCATGTGGTGAACCTTGGCAAAAAGAAAATTGGAGCACCATTGGGTATTTGAGAAAGCCCAATTAATTCACTCCTTCACTTGATTTTTCTCCCACGTATATCTCTCTCTAATGAAATCAAGTTCCATAAGGTTTGAAATAGAAATTCAATCAGCAAAGTGTTTCAAAGAGAGACCATTATGACCCAGCTCACCTTTCTTGTCATCAATACTCAAATAGGCATTAAAATTCCCAATAACAAACCATGGATCATGCTGAGTATCACTTATGAAAATTAGATTAGCCCAAAGTTATTTTCTCAAGATATAGCCTAGTTCCATATAAATGCAAGAGAGCCAAAAGAAACTGTGATGTTGTCACATCTCATTTCTAAAGGCATTATTTACATTTCTGAACTAAATAAAAAATAATTTTAAACTATATATGAATCAATTGCATTCAAAATTAATAATTATATCATATGATACTATTCACAAATTCTTTTAAACTTTGTAAACAATTTTGAGAAATAATCTTAACTAAGTCTATAAATATTGAATTGAATAGATTCTTATATTATCGTATTACAAACCTACAATTCCTTTATAAGGGACATATAACAAAAATAGATTATGCATAATATCCCTTATAATTTATTCCATGAGCTTAGGGAAATTTAATTTATTTTCTTTTCAGATTTTATTATATTTTTTTAAAGACTATATGACTTGATTTATTCTCATTCAAATGAAGTGCCTATGATTTAGCTAGAAAACATAATTGTGTAAATGGGCTTGGACCTGTACGTTTACCCCTTCTTACTTATTTCTTAACAACACCCATGTTTGTCTATTATTTTGGATCGAGACTTTTATACCTTCACTTGAAAAAATAATATCTAAAGTTGTAGGTATCCAAATATTATGATCTTGGGCTTTTCAGAAAGCTTAAAGTGTTGTTAATAAAAAAAATATTAAACTGAACATAACTCAGCCCAATTCATACAGTTAATTCGTGCAAGTTAATTACTCAGTTTGGACACTTAGCTTATTTCAGAATTTCTATGTAAACTTTGAAAATTGACCATTAATTCTAGAAAACTTGTTTTTATGTGATTTTTGATTTTTTGAAAGCTAGATAAGTCTAATGTAAAAATATTTATCTGAATTACATGACCCAATTAATACAATATTTACGTTGACTCCTAATCTCTATTCTCGACCTTACACTTTAATCTTATTTCTAGACTTGTATATTTAAAAAATTGTATCTCAAGATTTACTAATTCAAATAACATGATCTAGATATCATTTGAAAGCTTAAAATGTTTATTAACTAGTGATAAAATTTTATGGTTTTTTAAAATCAGTACCAACACAAAAACTCTGTTATAGGAAACATATATATTTTCAACTCACACAGTCATTTATTTACAACTAGATTGACTTTTTGTGTTTTTGGCCATTACATACCAGTCTAAAATAATTCAACATAGTCCAAAAACACATCATCTTATATTACAATTGCAACATTCAGAAGTTTATAAGCCAAACTTAAACACGCATACTCTAATAATTATATAAAACTATTTAAGATAAGTTCATAAATTTTAAACTTCATTAGCTTTTCCTTTGTCTTTACTTGAGCTAGGCCCTGACATGATTAGAAAATTTTGGGGTATGAGATTATGAAAATATCACTAGCAAAACATACACTTACTAAAGATATATATATTTTGTCCACATATTTTAATTCACAAACACACGTTCAACTCTATGCACAAATATCTACTAGCACAAAATTATGGCATGGAAAAGAGATATCTTCCAGCTTTGCCTTTCAGAAATCAAGTTATAACATTTAAATCATATCATTTACAAACATGTAGCATTCATTAATATTAAGCTATCCAACACATGCTGAACCAAATTTATACACTAGAGTAAAAATAAGTTCTGCTACCTTAGATTCTCTGGCTTGATAATATTTCTTCCTCCTTGTTATTCTAGATCACTTATTCTTTTGCTTCTTCTTTTCTCCCTCCCGTGATATGTTCAAGTCTTCCTCTCACTCTCACTCTCTCAGTTTTGTTTGCAAAAGGAAGGAAAAGATATGAAAAGAGCATAACGTTATTGGGGTATATATATAGGTGCAATTGAGATTATGGGAAGTGGTGGAAAGAAAATTTAGTTTACCAAAAATAATTTTTCAACCATTAATCTCTGCCACCTATCCAATATCTCTTCCTTCAAATCTTATTCTTATGCCACCAAATCTAATGTGTTGCCACCACTTAATCTAATTTGCTGCCACCTAATCAGACTGTCATTTTCTTCTTTTTCTTATGAAATGGCACCAAATCGGTAATGTTTGCTTCTCTCTTCCCCTTTATTATTTTTTTTTAAATCTTTTATTTCCTTTACTATATGTTAACCGTGAACTTAAATGAAGGCATGTATACAACAATCAAGCAACGCACTAATGTCACTTATTAATTTATCACCTACAATTTATACTTTGATCATGACAACTAACCTTTAATATCATACATTCACTAACTTTCAATTTAGTTGATATTTATTCTATTTAGTTTCACAAGTGGAAAAGAGAAGGAATGATTAATCTTTTAATCTACCTCAAATAAATCTTTTCATTTAAAATTATAAAATCAACCTTGGCTTTTATAGTTATTATATTTTTTAAAATATCCAATGTCATAAATTATGCTACTGCATAACAAACAATTTGATAGGTGCTAGTTTTAGAGGTGTTACAGATGTATTGATAATGTTTACCCCAACGTGTAATAATTGGGTGGTAGATAAAGCATGTGAAATAGACACAACATCATCTTGCCACAACAGCCAAATTTCCCCTGCATAGCCAGTAGATTCCACCCTAATCCAACTATTGAAGCCTAGTTTTCGAACTGTGATATCTGCTTTAGGCCCACTGGCTCTTGTTTCAGTTAGAATCAGGACACTAACATCTTTCCCATTAATCAAATCTTTAACTCGCCGGTAAAAAGTTTTGAAGGACGCGCCTCTATAATTCCAGGCAATAAAATTCATAAAAAACAAAGTAATCGGGAAACACCAAGGCCAAATTACCTTGCACTCCCAGCCACATTTGAATGGCCTTCTAACATAGACAAACTGTCTCTAACATAATCACTAGTCTCATACCACTGATCCGATGCCTCATTTGAATCAGAATCTACCATTTGCTTCCCACTATTTATCTTTAAGTCAAGGGGCTCTTTTGGGTGCAAGGCTACTTGATCTGTCGGCCCTTGAGCATGAATGGAGATTACTGGAAGAGCATTCGCAGGCTTTTCCTCCTTTTCTTTTCATGTTGAAAGTTTTATGGCCCATTGTGTGCTAGTGACCCAATCACAAGATTGTGGGCCCTGGATATCCATTGTTTTCTTCATTAAAGGAGACACCACTTTCGGTCTTGTTATTGGGGTTCTTTTAAGCCCACGTTGCTTCTTGTCTTGCTTCTTCTGGCCCAAAACATCTTTTGGGCCATTAGCTCCCTCCACTTGACCTTTTAGACCTTCATTCAACCTATTCACGCTACTAATCGCCTCTGGTTCGCCTTTCGAACAGGTCTGGCCGAAAGTAAAGGTCATGTTCGACATTTGCTTAGTGCTCTGCCCCTTCTCAAAAGTGCTGCTCTTACTTTTCGTTTTTCTCTGATCTGCATTCTTCTGGTTCACCAAGGTATTTGACTGGTTCTCTTTCCTTCTCCGCTCAGAAACTGGTGGTTTTCCCTTGTCACTTATAGTTTCCTCCCTTAGCTTGTCATAGTCATTCTGATCTGCAAGTACATCAAATCTGTTTTTGGAGGCTTCAAGCTACTCTTTGCTATTTGATTTCGCAGGGTATGGCCTATTCTGATGTTCTGATTTCTCTACTTTGAAACTAGGAATTCTCTGTCTAAAAGTCCTCCTTTCAAGCATCCAACTGCCGTACGGGTCCTTGGCTGACATGCCAGGTATGGAAAACAGAGGTTTCTTTTCTGCTGTTTCAGTCTCCTTCTCCGTCTCCGACGACCCCTGCTCAGGACGTGTCGGACTTCCTTCTCCCGGTGAAGATGATTTTGGTAAATCATTCAGCGAACAACTATCCTGTCGATGTCCAAATTTCCCACATTTAAAGCAAGTACTGTCCAAGCCTTCATATTCAACTGTAAGACCTTTTTTTGGATTACAAATCTGGATTGGAGGGTCTTGTTCAAGTCCACTTCAAAACTGACACGTGCAAATTTACCACACTCCACAACATTATTCTTGTTTTGATTTTGGGCTAACGTATTCAAGTCGACCTTTGGAGCCTTTCCAATTCGGTTACCCAACTCAAACATGAACTCTTCAGAGTACCAATGGATTGGCAATGGCCGGACCTTAACCCATACAACACGCTTCCTTGACCCAAATTAGGAGTCCACCTTTGAACAACCAAGTAGTGATCTTGAATCATCCAAGGGCCATCAAAGAGCATTCTCCTACAGAGATCTTTCTCGTCAAACCTGAATACAAAGTAATTGTTTTCAAGATCAATCAGTTCCCAGTTCTGGTTTTTGAGCATCCAAGATAATCTATCTTTCATCTTATTAAGGTTCACTGGCATTCCCACGATTGTAAGAATGAGAGCATATCCTTCCACGGTAAACACAGTTGCCTTAACCTATCATCAGGAAAATTGATTTTAAGAAGAGAATCAACGATCTTCTTTTGTTCTTCAGTGAGGATAGGGGCTGTATCTTCCTCCTCTTGTTCATATTTTTGTGCTTCCCTGCCCGCGAGTTTATTCCTCTATTCAAGGGACTATTATAGGTCTGGTTCTTGACTTCAAGAACAACATTATCAGGTTCTTTCATAGTCTCATCCCCTCTGTTAGTCTGTCCTCCATCAGTAGTGTCCCTTGTACAGTGATCCTTGGGATTTCATGGTTGACAGCTTCGTTCATAATCTCATATTTACCTCCTCCTCGGTGCTCGTCTGTGACTTCATTTGTCTCCATTCTCTTGATATTCCTGGCAATGATATCTTCATCCTCTTTCGACATCCCTCTTGCTTCATCTCCGGCTGATTTCTCAGTCGAAACCGTTTGACTCGAGTTCACACCCTTTCTGTCACTCATCTCTCTGTACTTACAATGATACCAAATTTTAAATGGACTACAAGCCTATTTACGTATTTTAATATTTTAATAAAATTTAACTCTATCAAGCATGTCCAAAATTTCTGACACCATGAGATGACGTGGCAAAAGTTGGGATATTAGATGAATTGAATGGCTTGGACGAGTGGACGCTGAGGGACGTGCTTCTGAGGGATCCGCATAACTGCCCTTTGGATTAGCGTGCGGCCAACAGGGGACTTGATGCAAGTTTAGTTGCGAACATGCATACAAAGTTAACAGAATGAAAAATTTAAATACAATTTTAAAATCGTGAGAAAAATTAAACGACAATCGTTAATTCCAAGTCTGTCTACTAAAGTTTTTTCATGAACAAAATCATTTTTAAAAAATGCATTTTGTGAAATTTAATGATATTTGTTTAATTTTTTTAAATCATAATCATAATCTGAGAAAATACAAATTTCAGATTATCTTAAAAAATTACTTAAGTTCTTGAAAAAGCATATACTGCCGGAAGGAAACCGTAACTAGTGAAACGGATTAAAGAAAAGCAGCCTCAGCAATCCAAACACAGTCCTAGACAAGACTTGATAATCCCAACCATGTTTCTTATCCTAATGCGTGTATGAATTAATATCTTGCTGTGTCTTGAGTAAAGCGAGTGCCAACGCTTCTCCACAGTAGAGAAAACTTTGTGGACACGCGAATTTAGAAGAAGCAAGACATAGATTCTTCAATCTTCATACAGGTAACAAATTTTATTAAGGAATCAGCAACACGACATTTTCCTTGAATTGGTGCATGTGAAAACCACAATACACATCGTTTTCTCGAGTACAGCTCCACCAAAATTCCAACAACTGAGAAACTGGTTATTTGAAGAAGCCTTAAGATTGAAAGTGCACTGCGTTACAAAGAAATAGATAAAAAGTCACTAGAATTATTATAGTAACTAGCAAGGAAAACAACATTTTCTGATGTTTTGTTGCTTTCTTAAAATTTACCCAAATTAATAGCCCCAGTAATCATTCCTGATCTCATCATCAAACTTCTTCTTCAGCTCAGGATGCTTTTCAAAGTACTCATCTGCTGTCATAGTACTGATCTTTTTCTGTAAAAATATTGCATTAGACACATTTCATTGTCGGGAAGAGAATTAAAACTGAGCAGTGATTTCAATTTACCTTCAACTCCTGTACTTCAGCAATCTCCTTCTCCAGTCGCTCAGACTCCTTTAGAGATTTCTCCTCTGCTTCTTTAAGTTCCACTAACTACATCCGGAAAGCACAAGTATGTTACTAAGATGTTATGTACTTGACCAGGAAATGAACTCAGGATATGACAACGGTTCTCACTAGCGCATCGAATTTGGGCTTATATTGCGGAGTTACATTGTCAACGTACTTGGGGATCTCGATGCCTGCAAAGAGATAGACATGGAATAATTAGCCAGTATAAAAGACAACAGATGATTATTGATGGGGAGATTCGAAAGCACACTGCACGATTTGAATTTATAAAAAGTCTTTCGCCAATTAAAAGGGTTGAACAGTAGAATCCATTCCATCTAACCAGTCAATGACAGTCAACGTAAGGGTAAGGGTGGAGTAATTTGCATTGCACAAGCTAGAAAAACCCAAGAGCTTATATGGAATTCTGCAAACTCCCAAATTCTAGTGCCTACTCCTCAGCCGATTCATCATATAGGGTTTAGGGTTTATATCAGCATCCTTCCACATATTATAAAATTTCAACAACGAAATATAACACCGGGGGGGAAAGCACTGGAGTCAACTACCTATTCTGACACCATAAAATATATTACATGAAGAGAACTCTTCTTATCTTCTATATCAGCATTGTTCCACATATAATAAAAATTTCACCAATAAAATATAGCATAAAATTTCACCAATAAAATAGCATAAAATTTCACCAATAAAATATAGCATAAAAACAGCAACGGAGTTACTTCGGAGTTACTTCAGCCACCTATTCTGATACCATAGGGGAAAAATTTTGAAGGGATCATGATTCAATCCAGGAAGAGCTCTAAACTTACTTTCATAATGTTCCTTGTACATATCCACCAAGCGAGAGCCAATATTTTTTCTGTAATGGTCCCAATTTATGGGTTCAGGCTCCTGCATGATGTGAAAATGAAGACGCCACAATGAGGATACAAGGAATCTGTGTATAAAGTATATCTGAAAACCTCTGACTAATTTGCATGCATGATCACTTTCAGTGGCAAGCTGATGGAGAATGGGAAGAGAATACGAGATAAACATAAGGAATAACAATTAGGATTAGAATTAGGAACCAATATTTTAATTGCTTTTATTTTATTTTAAACAGAAATAATCATCAGTTTAATTATTTTTATGAGGATTAAGATTTAATATTATTTTTTATTTTAAAATTAAATTATTAGGATTTACCATTGATGGCAAAGAGAAAACACCAAAAGGAGACATCTTATGGTCTTTATAGTTGTACCAACTACCAAGGTTAACCTAGCCTTTGATTGATAATGAAGTTTTGAGATTCTCTAAAGTTTCCTTGACTCCTTCTCCCATTCATTTCTTCTGCATCCTCCAATTTCTTCTTCTCTGTCCCCCTCTTTCTATATTCTTGCAACATTACTACAATAAAAAACTCTCGTTTAAAAATAGAAGTGATGTCCCTCTTTCTATATTCTTGTAACATTACTACATCAAAAACTCTCGGTTAAAAATAGAAGTGATGTGACCTCTCTTCTACCATGAAACATTCTTAGACTTAAAACTATCCAAGAAAAAATTATACAGAGGAAATTTTTACAAGTTTTTCATGGGAAAAAATTATTTATTGTTAGGTAGGAAGAAAATTGCGAGAGCTTTACCAAAAAATACAAAAAGAAAAGGAAAGGAAATTCTAAAACTTTTATGACATCTATATAAAAATAATAAGATCTAGATTGTATTTGTAGGAACGTGTAATCCTACTCTCAGGACTGATAGTCTAGCCTCCCAGAACAGGGCATTCTAATCTAGGGATTTTGAAAACCCCCAATGAACCATAGCCAGATCATCCGCGTCAGCCATCTCCTTCAATGTTCTCTCTCACAGCACCCATCTTCTGAGTTTCCACCATCTTGTTCTTAAGTCTTCATCTTCCTCCATGAAAAATTTCCAACTCCAATATTTCTTGCTTTCAAATTTGTCCCAATCTTGCAATCGTTATTGAGTATGACAGTGACAGTAGTGCTTTCAATGACAATCAGATCGTGGAAGATGAGGATGATCCAAACGGGCTTTGATTATTGATGAGTTATGAGAACGTGTCTAAGTTTAGTGAATAATTATTCTCTTGTGAAATGTCAACTCTATGACTTATGACTTGTTTAACGTATGTATATGGTCACTTTGGACTTTGGAGACTATAAGCCTTTTTTATGAATGAAACAGTGACTTCCACCACTTAGGAACTGTTTAGCACCTTAGCTAAAGTACAATGAGATTTAGTCTTTGTTATGTTTATCTAAGAAATTATGTCACAACATTTTTCATAAGAATGATTTGACATTCTCTGATCAGATCTCATTAGCCCCTTGGCCAATCCTATATAAAATCTTGATCTTAATAACCTTGCAGACAATCACATCAGATATATTTGATTTCCTGATCTTTCACTCCAACCTTGATGTTCAAGGGTAACACGCTAACATTTGACCCGATGGACAATTATTAATTACAGAACGTAAAATGGAAATTAAGAAACCATATATTCCCTAAATATATATATATATTAAATCAACAGAATGAGTCAAACATTACGAAGTCTGGAGGTAACCATTTTGATCAACTAAACTGAATCCTTAACATAACTTGCCAAAGTAAAAGGCTATCGTAATCAATTCAATTAGAAACGCATGGAAAATGGAAATCATCTCTTAAAAGGAGCGTAGGGCACTGAAATTTTCCAATGTCGGTCTTTTGAGATTCTTCTTAGCCAAATTGTAAAGGGATCTTAACTCCAACATTTTCGCTCCAACCACTCAATCATACATTTGATTGATAGAGAACACAAAACTGGGTATTGAAGCTCTATCTAAATCGCTAAGTGACAAACACTCAACCACGCAGCTAACACTGAAGAAACCTTGCCCAACCAAATAAGTACAGTAGAAGTTTCAAAACTTTATTTTGTGTTCACTAAAAACCCGCAGCCCAAGCCCAGAGTAAATATTGAAATGCGTCAGTAAGGAAAACTTGTCCGGCTTTTAGGTATCCAAGTTAAATTCCTAACTTCAAATTTTCTTCCATGCGCAGATTACGCGCAAACCAGACATGAAAATGGCACATTTTTTCGCGAAGGCACATTATCAAGTTCTTTTCACCATGAAGCCAATCCAACTCTCGGAAGAAGAGGGATGCAAACAATAGATCACAAGTCATTCAGCGAACTAAACAGCAACGCTCAATCGGTAATTTTCCGAAATGAATATGGTCACTTAACAAATCATAAAATTAACAATACGCGTATTAGAAGAACGTAATGATATATAACACTATAAATAAAAGAGATCTAGCAAAGAAAGAAGCACCGATCAGGATAAATCACATTTAAAAGAAGGAGAAAGAAGACAAGATCGAACCTGGCTGAATTTGGTTTGGAGAGCGTGGTTAACGTCGTCGAAAGCGCGACGAAGTGTAGCAAACTCCTTGCGAGCTTCATCGGAGACGAGGAGCGCGGCCATTCCATCCCAATCAATGGTCCTCCCTGCCTTGAACGCCACATCGGTCACTTTTTTCACTGTTCCGCTCATTTTTTCCGATTCTCTTTTTCCCAAACACAAATTCGTCTCACCACCAACAAGAAGAACCAACCTTGGAGGGGGAAGGCCAAATGCCCTTAAAGCCACTGTGTTATGGGCCGGACTGGATAGATGTTAGCATAGTCGAATTGGGTCGGCCCATTTCAGGAATGTTTCGCCCATGGCCCAATCACATCGTTTATGAGTAAAGCCCATTGCTTCACCCAATATATTTGGGAAGAAAAGGGGGACCATGATTATTGGGCCAAAAACGTTCACGTAGATATCCAAAAAAAAAAAAGCTCATTACAATGGGAAAACGAGAAAAGTTAAAACCCGGGGAAAAGCGGAAAAAGAGTTACCAAAAAAAAAGCTACAAAAATTTGTTTGAAAATAAAAAAATTACTTAGATAGAAATTTGCATGTAAAAATTGAAGTGGGTCCTATACATTTGTATGGAGCATGATATGAACTACATTGCTGTTGTCAAAAGACAGCAATCCAGTTTCGTAAATTCTTACAATATGAACATTCATAGTTTGATTCCTCAACAAGAAAAGAAATTATACATGTGAGAATATATTATAGAGAGAATTACAATTAAGTCTCAAAATATTAAATTAATTATAATTAGGTCTCCGAAAAATTTTTAAAAAATTGAATTAAAAATATCAATTCAAACAACTATAAATTTAAAATTTTAATTGCAAATAAAAAATTTAAGTTTCAAATATAACTCTCATATTATAAAAGGTTAATATGTAATTTGAACCCTAAACTATAGATCAATGGGTGATTTGAATTATAAACTTTTAAAAGATATATTATGAACTCTAAATAATTAATGTTCGGATAATTTCTCCCCAACGTTTCGTCTATCAAATTGGGACATAATATACAATTTTTACCAAATGAGGGTAGGAGAGAGAGGGATAGTAAAGCTTGGTGAAAATTGCAATTAAATCTCAATTTTTAAAAAATTAACGAATGTTTGTAGAAAGTTCACGATAGAAGTGAAATTATTTCAACTTTAATTATTTAGAATTCAAAATGTACCTTTTAAAAGTTTAGGGTTTAAATTGCCTTTGAACTTATAATTCAGAGTTTAAATTGTATATTAAATCCAATTATAAATGATATCCTTGTTTATAACTATTCAAAACAATGCTGGAAGCTATTTTGAAAAAAAAAAAATCAAGAACCCAACTGGTATTAGCTCAATCTTTTGAAATCTAACCTTCATTCTCCCCGCATTATACCACATGATACTCACTTGTCATTTAGCACAATGGCAATTTGTAACAAATGGCAAAAAGCTTCCCTCAAATATATGGTTTCTAGAGGGTGTTTTTGCTAAATAAAAGTCATATGATATTTCAGGAATTAGGGCAGCATGAAACTTATTTATTTCATGTTTAGATTCAAGACGACATTTTTTTTTTTTGGGTTACAAGGCAAGACAAGCTTGAAAAGTGGGGGAAAAAAACAAGCTAATTATAACAGTTCATATATCAGACTGCATCAATCCAATGCAACTCGGGGGGCAGGTCCAGATCAAGTTTTCATGCCAGTTCCAAATCAATCCAATGCAAGATGACAAGTCATTGAGGTAAATTTTGGAGAGTTTTTTTTTCCATTTTTTGTGGCCAGAATTGGAAAGTAATATCAGAGAATAAAATGTAGGGGTCCTTGATGGCTGCTTGCTTAATGAAAATGATTAAAGCAAAACGACAGTAATGGATAATAATGAGATGAGCCAAACTTGTTTCCGTATTCCCGAGGGGAAACGACGTGTGAGAATCCTTCGTTTTGAATGTTGAATATTAAAAAGTAAATAGAGTTTTGTAGATTCAAGAAATGTTAGAAGGACATTTAAATCATATTCCAAATTCAAAGCATACTTGTGAGAAACGTTAGGGAAGCCAATCTTGACATTCGACAGCCAAATCCCCCTTGTCTCTTTCAATGTACTCTTCTTATCCCCGCCTTCTTTTTTAAGAAATACCACTCAATATTTGATATTATTCAGTAATTTTAATTTCACAAGGGCAAAAACTCTCTATATTTTGGTTTCTCTCAAACTATTGGCTAACAAGAACTTTAATTAATACAACTCTCCTCATTTATCTGAATTTAGGATTGATTATTAAACATAGGGGGAGGTATATGCTTTAAACAAAGAGTGATTATCATTTGATGCACAATAACATCATGCAATTTATATATATAATTGACCTCGCTTTCTCGTGGGTTAAAACTTGTTGTTATTTTAATTTAATTTTGTTGACAGAAAAATCAAATCACATCCACTTTGTCTATATATATTGCAATTTTAAAAAAATATTTTCATTCCAATATCCTAGATCTTTAACCCAAACTAATCTGATCGATCACTCATGCGCACATTTCTCTCAAACTATTGTTCTTTGTAATCTCATAAAACTAATTAAGAGTCAGAAATCATTTAAACAGCATCACATACATTTTAGATTTAAGACACCTTCCCTAATGGATATCATCAATTATACATTATATGTTATTCTTAGTTTTGTCATGCGTCTTTAAATTTGCATAAACTCAGATGGAACACTTAAGGAACAAATATTTGCATGTCATATATATATATATATATATATATTCATTCATATTGATATTAATTCTAGATTGATTTGACTTGGTCTAATTTAGAGGATCAATTATTAGTCTTCTCTATAATTTTTTTTAAATTTGATTCCTTAAAATTTAACCTTTTTCATCAAGCTTGACCCAAAAAAACAAAAAAAATTGGACATTCAATACTGTCTTCTAAGGTCACCTCACTCATTCATAGACAGCTAATAAAAGTACTTAATGACCTAACATTGAACCAACATCAAACACTTAATTAGTACAAGTACGTGTAATCATAATAATTATTCAAAGATGTCATGTCAAAGCACTAAACCAGTCATTAATGTTTTAAATTTTGCCAACAGATCCTTTCTTGTTTAACATTGAATCAGTGGCAAAAATTATATAAAGATATCTCACTTAATTATATTATGTGCACTCCCATATGGAATAATCGAATTACAAATGTTATATGAGCCAATGCACCAGCAATTAAATCTAGGAGAGAAATATATATTAAAGGATTTAGGAGATAGATTATATGATTGGTAGTGTAATATCATAATTCACATGTCCATCTTTTAATAACTAAATGTTATTGAATAAAAAAGCTAGCACTAAAAATTTTAACAAAATTACATATTTATATAAATGCTGGTATTGGGTTAATTGCATAAAATTCAATATCTCCTAAACAAGGCCTTGAATTTGAGTCTTTAGAGGGGGGAAAAAACTGTTGGAAAAATCGATATCCTCCCAATAAAAAATTCAATGTTGTTCGAATCCAAATTAATAATTTTAAAATATACCAGCCTAAAAAAATAAGAATTATTTTTTAAATTTTGTGTAATTCATGAGAAGTGAAGATCACTATGACTTAGTCATGAAAGAAAGGAAAAAGATATAGAATCAACAACAACTACATACGAAACAAAACTAAATTGAGCCCAAACTTTTGAGTTTAAACAATACTCAACCAAAGTAGAAGCACTACTTATTTGACGGGGAGAAGATAGTGACAAAACGTGGAGACATAACTAACAAAATAATTATAAAATAATAAAAAAAAGTCTAGATTCATTATATATAAAAATAAATTAGTCACCCCCTAGCTTGGAAAAAAATGTGATTCTCACGTACATTGTCTTATTTAAAATCCACTCACTCATCACCATAATTATCACGCGAATATATGACAATGAACGCACTTACAACAATATATGTGCTATTCCTTTAACTCTTCGATATTTCAAGGGGTTCACACAAAGAGCTGGCATTAACATCAACATTTGAATCTGTAAGAGACCAATTAACAAGGTTGAGTGTGCGTGTGGAGGCTGCTTTATTTGTATAAAGAGATACGTACCCTTAGGACAAAGGAAAAAAAAAAAGCGAGGTCAAGTTCAAGTAATGTTAAAAGAGATAATATAACTTTTAATTCATAAATTTTCTTTCAATTATTAATTTATTTAGTCCTTGAATTTTGAATGAATTGAATCAAATAAAAAAATATAAAAATTGAATTGTTTCGAATCAAAAAAATTATAGAGTCTGAATTATTTCTTGATAATATAAATATATAATTGAGAGCAAGTTTAGAGATTAAGAGTTATATTTTTGGAAAAATCACAACTAAAGACTTGGGAAAATCAGTAATAATCATTGATGACCACAAATGTTAAAATTGAATTTCAGGGCCATGATCTGTTTTGGCTGTTTATTATTTGACTAAAACATTTCTGTCCGAAATGCAAATTTACTCACTTAATTTTAGGGGTATTTTAATCACAATAATAATTTATAAACTGCAAAAAAAATGACCCTGGTACATATACTTAAATTCAATTTCAAGATTTTATAGTCTTTAATAGTTCTTGTTGATTTTCACCTTCTTATTTGTGATTTCCCCCCATACTTTTCCTTGTTAAACCATACAGGCAAAAAAAATAAATAAATAAAATAAAATAAACGCAGTTTAAAAGAGAGAATTTAATGGTAATTAGGTCAAGTTCTAATAACAGCTTGCAAGCATGCGTGGAGAATAATTTCTGCCCACAGGGTTGTTTGACGTTGGGGTGGCTAGGGGCATATGAGTTGTCATAAGTCGACGTCGTTTTCAAAGTCATATTTCCTCTCGTGGTGGTTATGACTTTACGACGCCGTTCTAGTGGGGATGCCGACGCACATGTTCAATGCAGACTCAGTGACTCACTGTACAGTTTCTCGCTGCGTACATATTGTTAATTTCCAAGTCAATCAAACAGCATAAATATCTTATCTCCGTTTAACATAGACTCAAACCATATAAGTTGATCAATGTGAATCAAAGATATTAGATTTCTTCATCCCTTCCCTTTCATTTATATGCCACTTTTTCAGCCTAATTTTATGTATGTAACAAGAAGCTTCTTTTTACATTAGCTTACATTTGACTCGGCATGCATATCTATCCCCATCTATGACC